ACTCACGTAAAACCACAACGGACTCTGTCAACAGTGACGCGAGTGCGACGACTGTTTGTTTGGTGACAGGAGATATGTATTTCGTCTTGCCCTCGTTCGAACGACCGTAGAGGTCCTTCCCTATTCTGACGGAGCTTTGCTATTAGTTTTGCGGGGATACCAAATTTAGACATCGCGGCATAAAGGCAGCTCCTTTTCGTGTTGACGAAAGCAGCTGTGAAATCAATGAAGAGGTGGTGTCTGTCGATTCTCTTTTCACGGGTCTTTTCCAAGATTTGGCGCATGGTGAATATCTGGTCGGCTGTTGATTTTTCAGGTCTGAAGCCACACTGATAAGGTYCAATCAGTTTGTTGACGGTGGGCTTTAATCGTTCACACAATACGCTCGACAGAACCTTATATGCGATGTTGAGGAGGCTAATCCCACGGTAGTTGGCGCATATTGTGGGGTCTCTTGTTTTGTGGATTGGGCAGAGCACACTTAAATTCCAATCGTTGGGCATGCTTTCGTCCGACCATATTTTACAAAGAAGCTGGTGCATGCTCCTTATCAGCTCTTCGCCGCCGTGTTTGAATAGCTCGGCCGGCAATCTATCGGCCCCCGCCGCTTTGTTGTTCTKCAGGCGGGTAATTGCTATTCGAACGTCTTCCAGGTCGGGCAGTGGAACGTCTGCGATGTCGTGGCAATCATATTCATATCTCCAATGCTAACAATCACATTATGTCATACCATATAGTGTTGGAAAGGTCAGATTTTAAGCTTCATTAAACAAAAAATTAAATTCCGGAAAATTGAAAAAAAGTTATAACTGTTCAAAAATGGGAGGAAATAATGAAGAAATTCGCTAAATTTTGAAATTTTTGTATAAAACAAGAAAAAACGTTAACTTCGGCTGCACCGAAGCTAAAATACCCTTCACAGGGTTATTTCTTTTAGTAACTATGTGCCCAGTTTGTATAGAAGCTATATGCTGTAGTAATCCGATATGAACAATTTTTTCGGAGAATATGTTATTACCTTAAACAGTAATCCATGTCAAATTTCCTGAAGATACCATGTCAAAGTTGTCCATACAAGCACTTGATTCCGTTCGTTCGGCTTGTATGACAGCTATATGCTATAGTGAGCCGATATGGGCCGTTCCGACAAATGAGCGGCTTCTTGAAGAGAAAATGACGTTTACAAAATTTCAAAATGATACCATTAAAACTGAGGGACTAGTTCGTATATATCTATACAGACGGACGGACGAGCAGACGGCCAGACAGACATGGCTAAATCAACTCAGCTCAACATACTGATCATTTATAAATATACTTTGAAGTGTCTCGGACGCTTCCTTCTGGGTGTTACAAACTTCGTGACAAACTTAATATACTCTGTTCAGGGTATAAAAAGGAAGAACGCCAGCAAGCTGTAGTCTCGCTTTCGTTCTGGAAATTTCTTGATGGAATAATGTCGCTGGCGGAAAAATGGTTGATCAAAATGGTACATATTAGGTTATTTATTTGTTATTATAAATATAAGAGTGCCCAATATGATTCTTTTTTTTAAGAAAAAAAATATCTTAAAAATTTTTACAAATATGGGTTTTGAACAAATGGTTATGATTTAAAATATAATATTGATATTTAAGAATTGTATTGAATTATAACATAAAGAGATAAAAAAAAGTACCCTGTATTCGTCTCCTGGTTCTAAGATACCTTCTCACCAATTTTCAACCGTTCTTGATTTATAAATAGTGTAGATAATTAATATCATAAGATAGAGGACATTAAGATGCTTCTAACAAATCATTTGTGAAAATAAAACAATTATGTACAAATTTGAGTTGTGTCGCAATTTTGCACTTGCTAAAAATTTCACACAAAATCTGCTTCGTAAACTGTAATACAAGCCATTAACAGCATGAAATGCATAAATATTTCGGTTTTTGAAAGAAATTTTCATTTTCATTATCGTCAATAATCATCAACGCTGGCAGTTTGTCATAACGAAAGTCATGGCAGAAGCACAAATGCGAAGTGTGAAAAAATAAAAGAAACGCCTTCAGCCACTTGGTTGCTCTTTAAAGCCATACCGCATTTTGCAAATGTGGGTTGACAGCCATGAAACGCTCGCATTTCTTTTACGAACTGTTTGCGTTGTGTGAAAGCTGCAAAAGCCATTCAGGCAATTTGAATAGCAACATTTGGCATTGCTTTCACATTTCGGGCATTCCTCGAAAATCATATAATATCATATATATGCTTAACACACACACACACACACATTAAATGCAAAAGCAACAAACGCTCAGGCAGACGCGCTTGCGTGTGTGTATTGGTGTGACATATTTTGCATTTTGCCTGTGTGTGCGTGGGTGTGTGTGATTTAGTGTCGACATTGGCATTCAAATAAACTGTCACGCATTTGGCATTTTCATGTGACTTTTAGTCAGCCCTTGCTCTCATTTTCTCTCCTACGGTTTTCTTTGGCTTATTCCAATTTTTTCAAAGCTGTTTTGTATGTGTGCGTATTTGGCTGTATGTGTGTGTGCTTGAAATGTCCCTGAAACTGTAATCATTTGCTTGGCTTTCCGCACACACACTCTCATATTTAGCGATTATGTGTTGTTGTTTTTGTTGGTGGGGGCGTGTGTGTTGTCTACACCTGTTCCGCTTTATTTGGTCTGTGCGTTTGAATAAATGTGTCATTGTGCTGAGCTTTTGTCGCAAAACAGTCGTAGGAATTCGACGGTTCGTAGAAGTAAAAAAGTTCTTGTTTTTGCTTGAAAGATAAAAATTTGATGTTTATATTAGATCTGAGTGTTTAAATGACGCTAGTAAATGCTTCTAAAGCCATCGCACTTACCTTATAAATTCCGAATATTAACATCACGCTCAGCACTATCATGGACATTTGTGTGCCGATAATGGCGAAATAGGCTATTTGAACACCTGAAAGAGAAGAATTGGACGCAAAAAATATAATATTTATTATATACTTATATTATATTTCATTTCATATTTTTTCAAATTATGAGAATTTATTATCTTTATACAAATAATCGAGTATTTTGTTTTTAAAGATTTTATATAGACTCTGTTCAGATAAAAAACTTTATTTCCTTAGCATTTGTGGATATTACATTGTGTTTAAAATAAATTTCTGTCACGGCGAAAATCGCATTCGATGGAACGATGAGCCGTATGAGATATATGACGGCATTGACATAATTCAGCGAATTAAAAGACAGCGGCTACGCTGGCTAGGTCATGTTGTCCGAATGGACGAAAACACTCCAGCTCTGAAAGTATTCGACGCAATACCCGCCGGGAGGAGCAGAGGAAGAGGAAGACCTCCACTCCGTTGGAAGGACCAAGTGGAGAAGGACCTCGCTGCGCTTGGAATATCCAATTGGCGCAACGTAGCGGAAAGAAGAAACGACTGGCGCGCTGTTGTTAACTCGGCTATAATTGCGTAAGCGGTGTCTACGCCAATTAAGAAGAAGAAGAGTCACAAGTATACAAGTTCTTGGCAAATTTATGCTATTGAGATATTGGGTTCCCAACGTTTGAGTATTTCTAAAATTATAGTTCCTTAGTTCAAAGGAAATCGGAAGTGTACTGAGCTGCAAGCGATAAGGCTCATTGTGGTCTCCAGTAGCAACATTCAAAATAAAACTAAGCAACAACTCGCTGATAGAATAAATTGTTTGTAACTATTCTTCTCAAGCCAGCAGCAATTTTTTTTTTTTTTAATATAGAACATGCTTATATTAAAATAGTCATTCTTTACAGGCATGCATGATATGGCATTGCATGTCCCTTCAAACTGGGATAATACCTGTTAATGATTTGCTATTCTAAGAATTCGATTTGACAACATTTTATATTGTAGAAAAATTCATTAAGACCATAACATTAGGTTGTCAAATATCTCCGGCTTTTTATATTTTGAATTTGGCGGCTAAGTATAAAGCGGCACAGAGCTCGTATCTGGTAACATCTTTGAAAGATCTTGACATAACCTACAAAACGACTCTGTGCATGATTAGTTTGAATATTACGTTCAACAGTAATAGAGGTGTAAACATGGAGTGTACTAACATCGAAATTCGTACTATTTTAAAGTTTTCCTTCGTTAAAGGTAAATCCGCTAGAGAAGCATTCCGTGAGATTAATGATGTTTTGGGAGATGGTACTCTATCTTCGAACTGCGGAGGAATGGTTTAGATGATCCAGAGCGACGTGAAAACGACACCATGGACAAGCCAACCGGCGGAAGACCTGTGACGACGAATACCGATCAAATCATGGAAAAAATTGAGTTAGACCGGCATGTGGCAACTCGTGACATCGCCCAGAAGATGGGAGTTAGTCACCAAACCATTTTAAACCATCTGCAGAAGGCTGGAAAAGCTTGATGTTTGGGTGCCGCATGATTTGAAACCTTCTGGACCGAATCAACGTCTGCGATATGCTGCTGAAATGGAACGAACTCGACCCATTTTTGAAGCGGTCGCTTATCGTTTCGCGATAATATCAAGCGAAAACGGTCGTGGTCGAAGGCCGGTGAAGGAACGTTTGCCACCCACTATTAGCTTCTCCCATCTACTACGAACAACTTGACCGCTTGAAGCAGGCTGCTGAAGTTCTTACTTCTTTACTTTCTTCGCTATTGTACGACTTCTCGATAAGCCAAAAAATTTGGGGAGTGGTCTTTTCAGTGTGTTCTTGAACAAGTTTAGTGTTACAACTCGAAAACGACGGTCACTTGCTGGATGTGTTAAATAACTTTTCTGGTAAGTGTGTACTCATCTTTTAAAATTACAATTTATCCTCCTTTGATATTGTTTGTCGGAATTTTCTACTCCTTTCTTTGTTTTCAACAATTTTGTTAGTTCTTTCAAACCTTGATATGAACTTCCTCTTTCTTCTCAAATGCTGCAGCTTCATCTTTTAATTCAACTATAATTCTTATTTGCCATATTTCTCCAAAATGCCAGGTATCAATTTAGTTGAAACCTCAGTTACTGAATGTTCAAAGACTTTTCTGAAAATTCATTTTCTGAAATAAATTCTTTACGCTGAATAGAACTTTTGCTGGACATGGTACCAATAGTATTATCTGTTCTGTTGATTCAGCCAATTCAGTTTTTTTCCTCAGTTCAAAGAGAATATATATAATATAAAATTTTGGAACTTTGGTAGTTAATTTTAATTCCATGTCAAAGCGGTAAAGAATTTCCGGTTTTTTTCTATAGTAAATTCCTCTATAAGCACACCACAGTAAAAGGAACTATAAGTAATTTCGGGATCTCCTTCTTGTGGTCTCGTTTTACAACGATTAAACTTCTCGAAATACTCCGCCGTTATTTAAAAGTACAATTTTTGAACTTCAAAAGAAAATTTTGTTTATAATTTGTGTGAACATTGTGCATCTGAGAAACACAATTTAAATTGTTTGATATGAGTTTTTCTGAGCTGTTCAATTTTCCTTTTGAATATGGAGATTTTTCTCATTGAAAGGTTTTCCGATTCTCACCAGGCATATTCCCTTTGTTTCATCATAGTGACAGAACACTGTGTTTAGTTTCTTACTAACACGGCTTATGTGATCAATTTAATAGGCAGGAATATATATGGAATACTTTTTTTTTAATTTGCCTGTATTTTTACAAATAAATCGACCGCAATCTATGTATACACTTCTTCTAGTATTCTGAAATGCTTTATTGGTAGAATCAATGGCTATCAATTGGAAATGGAAAACACCGTAAATGTTCAGTAAATATTCATACTTAAGTTGAAATACATAACTTCATAGGTATACAGGATTCCTATCATAAATCTAAATTGGTTCAAATGCTGAATTCTTCATATTTAGTACATAAGTTTCCAGGTCCTTTAGTTCAATCACATTGAAAACTCAGTGAGGTTACGCAAAATGTGAGGATTCTTAGGAAAGCTTCCATAATTCTGTATCTCCGGTATGGACCTAGAAATGCGAAGCACCATATGGCTCTTATACCACTCTCGGAAGAGCTCCGTTATACTTTTAAAGCACAATTAAACAAATTTGCTAAGTTTTGACACTAAATATTATTAAAAAATTAATTAAATTTATCTCTTCCAAAATTTAGCTGTGTCAGTAGCGCTCCACAATACCCATTTCTATTGAATACATAATATTGTGTGCGGTTCATCAAAAATTTGAAAACACATATTCCAGCTGGCTCCAGCTATTATCACAGGTTCGTTACAATTCAGATTTGACTTTTCAAGGCCCGCAGAAAACAGAGCCCGTGTCGGCACTGACGAAAGATTAATTGAATTTTTTCCAGTCGAATTGCATTTGAGCAGCGCATTATGCTCACGGAAGCATTAAAGACTTATGAACCTCTTCTCCATTTTGTATTTGAATTTTTATTTTCGTATAGCGCTTGAATATTACAGAAAATTTCATATAACTGTTGAGTTGCTTCTGTGCCAAAACTTCGCAACAGAGCAATTAAAGAGTTTCTTCTTGGTTCAGTCTTTTATTGCACTTGTCGCTGATATTGCTTAACTCCTCACTTATGTATTTACTTAAAATGAACCCTAGATAATAACGGTCACATGGAACTTGTGGGCAAAGCTTGACAAGTTTTTCAGCCGGCTGTCGGTCAAGTAATGCGGACATTGCCTCACCAATAGACAGTTCACAACTGCATATCTCACATAAATTGACAATCGGCTTACAGAAGTCTGGCCAGCTGATGTTAAGCTGCCGCTTATAGCATCACCTGTGTGAGAATTAGAGCCTATAAGATCAAAAGTTCTTCATGGAGAAGAATGAAATGTGTAAAATGTGTGAGGATTATACGTTTATCCGTGTGTGGCAAATAAGTTGCATATATCTTGTATATATACGAGCGCTCAAATGGACTGAATTATTTATTCCGCCAAAGGTTAAGTAAATAAATATGTTTTTACGGTTGGACAGATAGCTGGAAGTGAAGTGAATTTAACCTATTTTATACAAGGAAGATGTGTATACATATATACTTACCATAGTAGACATCCTCCAACGATTCCACCTTGCGCATATTCACATTTATCCGCCAGGAGTAAATCAAAACAATCAGGAGTGACATATTCTGCGAACGAAAGCAACAAAAACAAATAAATACTCGCAGTTGTGGGTTACAAATTGTCACTCAGATGAATAATTGCATTATTAATGAATCATTAAATCCACTCATATCATATCGGTCATAAAAGTCACTCATACGCCCCCCACACTATTTTTCCTTTCAGTCTGTATAATTGTAAGCTGCCGTGCACAAAAGAGGCAAAAGCAAAGGTAAAACGCACTTAAAAGTGAGCGTGAAACCATTTAATAACTCGACTTTTTGATACACTTAATTCATTTAATTGATGTCATTAATGTAATTAACGTATCACAATAAGCCATAAATTATTAAACACACAAATGCAAATGTGTACATACTCTCATAAAAACGAGTATAAATGTATGCATAGAATGTATATATATTAGGGTGCGTCAAAAGTAACTTATTTTATTGACTTTATACTCCAAAAAATTTCTAACAGCTACTCAAATTCTGTCCATATTTGAGCTTTGAAGGTTAATATGAAGGTCCTCCGTTCTTCCTTTTCCTCGTTTTTCGTTGTAAAAAGAAAAATACTTAAGTATTGTATATAGTTTAAACACATTTGTATTAAATCGAGTTCCCCATAAAGTTGTCTGTTATAACTTTTTCGTACCCATACGGCTCAAAAGTTTAAAAGGCAACAAATTAGTTTTGTCCGCAAGTTATGAAATTCATGGAAGTAAAATGCGCCTTTAAATAATTAAACTTTAGCTATGGATAATGATTTTGAATGGTGAGGTTCGCGAAAAATAATACGGAAAATAAAAAAGCATCAGGCAGGCGCTGTCCTTAATCATGAAAGGGTGTACAAATGTCTTCCTCTTTACCTTAATCTTGATTTTAAGTTTGCAATAAGCAATTATAGGTTGCAGAGGTCTGACACTGGTTGCGATAAATAGCAGCTTCTTGGGAAGAAAATGACTTGAGAAAATTTTTAGACTATTTTTTCAAACACTGAGGGATCAGTGCGCGCATTTGCAGACAAAGGGGCATGACCACATACTTGTAAATCGACTCAGCTCGTCGTGATGCTATTAATACAAGTATATGTATATTTTATAGGCTCTCTTTCTTCTGAGTGCTACAAACTTAATATACCCTATTTAAGATATAACAACGAACCCTAATTTGTATCATGTATTCACATAAGTTGTCACAACTGTGCATATAGATCACATGACGGCGAATGAACGCGAGTTATATCTAGCTAATCTTCTATCTAGAGGTGAAGAAAATCGCTTTACGACAACACTGAGTATGAACTGAATAATTGAAATAACAATTTTGATTTGGCATTGAAAAAATAACTTAAAAGTACTAGGGAAGGTCTTTTAAAATGAGGGATGAAGAAGTAGTTGAAGGGACGAGATTTCTGTTTAAGCTATTTTAATAATATTTATTTATATTTTTCTTAAAAAATTATGATATTTATTTATATTCAAAATATAATCACGGGTAGCTACTTATGTGTCACTCAGAGCTTACTGAAAAGTTCCAATGGAGATTCACGATCTTATTTTCATGAGAAACGTGATCATTCATAAATATATTTAGGTGAGCAGCCATCATATTGCTGTTGTATATAGTTACAATGGTTGTTAGATTAAAATGGTTATTTGAGGTAGCAGAAGGGAACGTAGAAAGCGCAAAATGTGCTATATTGTTATGGCAAGAAGCGGCAATAAACGCAATATAAATTGATTTTATTTTGGTTTATTCTAAGGTGATTTTCACCTACATTGGTACGATAGAAAATCACAAAAGCGTACGGTTTCACGGCATCACTCTTTCCCAACTACCGTATTTGTGGCTTGGGTTCATAGAGAAAACACTATTTGACAGCAATAACAACACGTTCGTCTCAAGATTGCGTTTTTCATTTTAGCAGCTTCTGTGTATTCCACATACCGGTTGCTGATCATAGACATTATTTCCTCACAAAAATATGCTCTAAAGTATTATGAAATATACTCTGGAACGAGATGTCGGTATTGTGTTGCCTCACAAGTTTATTAATTTTACCGTAAGAATAAATATTTGAACATCCCGACAGCGAAATTATACTAAAACATTCAATATGAAGTTTTGTGTCACGATAGAAAGGTTGGAGAGCCTTTACCAGATGTCGACGTGGAAGCAACTGCATTTGAAGGATGGCTAAAAGCCAAGCTGTCCGTAATTCTGCAAACCCAGTGTTATTATAAATCTTAAATCTTCCGCTCTATTTAATGAAGTTCTGTCATACGATTGAAATGTATACCAAAATAATTCAGTGATGCTTTTATAAAATTATTAAAGAAAGTACGTAGTTATAATAGTAATGATGAAACGTCCAATATTTTGGCAATATTGGTTCGAAAATTTCATCATATTGAGCTTTTGAAATGAATTACGGGTATCATATAGGGTAAGCGGAACTGTATCTAATGAAAACCATGCTGTCAGTCCTCTTGGGCAACTATTTCGAGCCAAACTTCTAAAGCTCTCAAAACGAGGGGGTTAGTTTTAATCTGTTTTTTTCACAACAATGTATATAATTAAATCATATGATCTTCACGGTTAATGCACCGAACCAATTTTTGATATGATTTGGACACCAGAAACTCATTCCATAAAGTGATGGACTTATGCTATCTAGTTGGCTCTTGAAATATTTAGCCAAAATGAGAAGGACTTTCAATTAATTTTTCTATGTTTTTATTATTTATCGGCTTGATATGCAAATAACACCAAAAAGGAATTACTTCTCAACATAAGGAAATCTCAAAAGATCGTTGAAGATTGTACATACTCTGAATATGCTTAACTGGTTATCCCAGAAATATAAAGTAAAAATAAAATAAAAGTAAAAATAAAAGTTTAAAACTCACTGAAAATTATATTTATTTGAAATAGACTCTGTATAAAAACGACAATATATTGAAGCTAAGTGCAGCTTACTAGTTTTACACGTGATTATAATTGGTCACAGCATAGTTCAACAGATTTTCGTTGGGGTCATTATAAAGGCCACTTTAGTTTTCAATTAAAACCGTAAATAAAATTCCGAAAATCCTTATATGGTATTTTGCGCGGATTCTAAAGGCGTCAGAATCAGAATCAACTTAGTAGTTTAGACACGCTCCAATTACGCAACGGCTAAAACAAATACGTCGAAATTATTCACATTTCAAAACAAATCCATCCGACTACATGCCTACCGTATGATGTGTTTTAATAAAAGCAAATATTAAATAATAAATAAAAACGGAAAATTCACTAGCAAAATGCAACAGTTCCATTGTCCCCTCACACACTCCCGCACACATACATACGCGTGTACCATTGTGTCGCCGCACCCGGCAAGTCTACAAAAAAGACATACACAATGTCAGTACCATATATGTATGCCACATGCCACACGCCACACGTATTAAAAGCGCACAAATTTAATTTAATTTTTAATGCCATTTACGCGCACTAGTCGGCCCGGCGGGGCGTATGCGTGATTTTATTTCGTTGTTTGGCTCTTTGAGCTAAATTCATTTTTGTTTCGCTTATTTGAGCTGCGGCACAATGTCACGCAGAGATTTGTGCTTGCTAAGGTGGCACTGATAGCTGATTTTTAGCCGAGAATTATATTTTGAGAGAGAATATCATATATTCCCAGGTTGTGCCGTCTTGATCTATCAAAGTATCGGTATCGAAGCAGGTCGTTATTAATCCACCCTGCTCATATTGAGGTTTCAGGGCTTTTAATTGCAAGTCTATCTCTTTCTACGAAAATTTTTTACCGAACCATAAATAAAATATTTATAGGTATTACGCCTATTCAGAACCAGAACCATTATATAACTTTTCCAAAGATAATCGCAAGAAGTATATAGTTTGAAGACGCAGGATAACTTCAGTGTTCGAATACTAATATATCTAAGTATTAACATTTAGTTACATATGTCACGGATCGGAGTAAATTGTTATTTTCGACAACGTTTTCTTTCCTAATAAAGGCCTCTACCATATCAGTGGAAGCCTACAACACAGGACTTAACGAAGACGTCAGTTGGAGAACGATTTTGATCTTTGAAAATTTTAATATGAAAATAAATTGGAACATAATGATGAATACTAATGGTCCAGTACAACAGTCTCAATAAAATTTTCGAATGGCATTATTTAATGTGTTCTTAGAGCTTGTGAATTTCAAAGACTTGTCAGCTTACAATACTTTCAAAGTCATAACACAGTTACGGCAGAAGCATAGCATGAAATAAGAGGAGCGAAAAGTACATTGGCCTTAGAAAAAAGTAAGTTTGGCTAGAAAATTGTACTGGCCACAAAATGTTACCCAGCACCAAGCAACATTACCAGTATATGATCACAAATTGGTCAGTTGCAAATAGTCTCTAAAACAAAAATAAATGTAAATAGGAACATATGCATACAAGGTGGCTCAGGCGGTAGCTGTATCCATAAATGCACATACAATATAATATAAAAATATAAAAAACATCAAATCGGTGACACTCGCAGTTGAATATACTCTTCAACATGACAGCTGAGGCTTCGAAGCGCTGCTCCCACAAAGGCAATACAGTTCCTTTATGGCCGCGATGTGATTTTAGTTCAAGTGGAAAAGCGTTAAGGGCTTAAGTCTTAGTTTCAGCATCTAATTTTGCTAACCAAACTGAACATTTGTGGCTTTTAAAGAATTGACAAAGTTATAAGACACAAAAAAGTGAACACAACTTAATCTAAATATTTTCAATAAAAGGACGAGGCAGTTCGAACTTCGTAACAGCAAAATGCAATACATTATTTGGCACAAATTTATCTGTTACATTATAAAGAATGGTTCCAATTTTATACCCCCCGTCCGAAATCTTCCGATTGTTGTCAGAATAATACCAAAAATTTCGGAAGCATTGCGGCTTATCCTTTGTCAATTATTGTTATCAAACTTTTTGATTTCGAAAAATCTATCAATTTTTAAATAATCTACACAAAAGATTTTTAAGTGGACCCTACTACAGCACTCTCACCACCTTAAGCCTAAAAACATTGCCAACATCCCCTTTCAGTCTCTCCTTTTCACGCATCACTCAAGCATGCTTAATTTCCTTGCTTTGTTTCAGCTGTAATTGACAGTTGAATTTTCGTTTTTAGCTTGTGCTGCGCTACTTTTTTTCGCACTCGCTTCAAATTATACTCACAATTGTGTAAATCGCGCTTGTTAACGCCAAATTTTTCGCATGTAGCATGCGACAACATCCTGTCCCCGTTAGCGGTCCATATGGATACAATATCACCGATTTCATTTTCTCACCAGCGCCGACGCCAACACCAACGCCGGTCGCCGCCGCCACAACACACGTTTTATGTTTGGCTTTCATTTTCATATTTTTCTCACGGATTTGTTGTTGTTATTTTTACTGTTCGTTTTTGTTTTTGTTTTGTTTTGGTGTCCTTGCTGTCGTTTGTGCGGATATTATGCAATAATAACGGCACTATGGCAGTAGCACGCGCGTGTTTCACACACCTTTCGCAGCCACTAATAGATTTTGTGTGAATGTTGTAGTTGTATTTGCATAACGCTGTTGTAAATAGTGTTGCTGTTGTAGTTTGGTGAGCACTAGCGGTGCTTAGGATGAGTCATACGCCACAAAAATGCCGTTAGTTTTATATAACTGTAGGTGCATTGCTTTGTATGCGCCTTTAATTCACTTCAATTCTCGTTTCAATTTCTGTTTTATTTTGATTGTTCTGCTCTACGACATGCCTCTGCAATTTGAAGCTGCTTATTTGTCTGTTTGCCTGCGGTTTATCGCTTTGCAGCTCAGCATAGCAGCATACTTAATGTTACGTATACGCCCTGTCGTACCACGCAAATGATGTAAGTTTTGGTTTGGTTTGGTCAGTTGGTTCTTCATATAAATCTCAGCAGGATTTACATGATTCACAGTAACTTTGACGCCTGTAAAGAGAAAGATTGTAACTTTTAAAATATGCGGTTGCCGGTTTCCAATAAAAATAATTTGCGTACAAATATTTAAAGAAATGCATAGTATAAACTACCGTAGATTACAGTTTCCATGGAAATTTATTTAACATTTCTATCAACTTAACTGCGAATAAGCCGCCGTTTCGTTAACCTGATTGCTTTCGAAAACTTTCTAAAGCAGACAATTATTTTAGATTCTCTTAAAGATAAAAAGTTAAGAAAATAAACAAATCCATATCGGTATCCACCAGTTAACTATCACTTCTCCGGCGATTTTTAAAGGCGCTTTGGCTTTTGCTACAACTTTGTTACGACTAATACAAATGCAATCATAGCTAAATCTTTTTCTATATAATAAACAGGATTTGAAAAAAGGGATCGCAGCCAGAATGGGTATTACAAATTTCGATTGCGCACTTGACGTTTTATTGCGTATGAATATTCTCTAAATATTGAACATCTATATATATATATATATACAGTTACATACATATAC